AGAAAAAAGGGGAGAGATATGATACATCATATTACAGCAAGTAAAATACACTAATATTACAGAGATGGCTACCTCATCTTAAGCAAACAAGACAAAACTGGCAAAGAAGACAACATATGAGTTCTGTACATTAATCTTCTTACAAGGGAAATATGCCTTTCAGCTTGCCTTACTTTATTTGCATTAAAAGAGAATAAACCTCTATAACCAGGACTTGGAATCAACATAACATAACCTAGTTTTCAGAATGATGGAAAAGAGAAAGAAAGCTGTTAGTTCAAGTACAACGTCACATAAGGCACAAGATGCAGGCCAAAGTAACGGCCTAATCCTGGAAGATGCTGAACAGTTCAGTTCCCACACAGCTCTCACTGACACTCAGCACTCACAGGGTTGAGCTCTACATTTGAAACAGCAGTGGGGAGGAAAAAAATAAAAATAAAAAAAATCACATCAGAGCTCCTTTTCACACCAGAGGAGTGGTTTGCCAAGAGGTACTCAACAAGGTTTCATCCATAGTCTGGCTTTAGCTTTGTTTCTCATGCTTGAACAGTTTCACCACTGGTACTTTAACCTTAAGCATTTCCTGTTCCACATTCATTACACCAAAATGAATAAAGTTCGCATACCTATAGATCGTTCACACTACAGTTGGTGAAAAATAAAATAAAACAAAATCACAAATGAGAAAAGAAAAATACAGATTTTGAATGTAAAATATCCCCTCTGTGTATTTACCTGTACAAAAAACCCATGACCTTTAATTTACTCATGGCAATTACGGCATTGAGACTTAACAGCCAAAGTCAAGCCTTAAGTGTGCACCTGTCTAATGCTATGATACTGAAGCTTTAAGGCAGGTAGCACCAGTATAATCAGAGTACAGCAGAAGGGTCAAATACTGATGACTGCATTCCAGCTTTAATTCGCCATGGGACTTAAAGGTGAGGCTCTTTTCTACATGAAAAGCAATCCTGCTTATTGATAGATACATCATACTTTGATAAACAGGAATGAAGACCAGCAAACTGTAGTCTTAATACTACACAAACACAAGAAATGCCATCAAATTTGATTCATAGCCTAGGTTTTTCTAAACCTTTGACTTAACAGGAAATTATAAACCTTTTCATGTATCACAGTAGGTCTGACCTATTCTACACACAGCACTGGTTACAAAAAAAATCAAACCTATGGGTGATGGCTCATAAGCACAGTTTGTTGTCAATTGGAAGAATACAATTAATGACCTTAGTTATTTGTAGATCTACAGAGACAACTTTGGGCTAAATTGCGACACACAGAGAATGAAAGTGTTTCTTATGAATAATGTGGCACAAATAAAAAAATAACTGCAGTGGCAAGCATGAAAAAAAGCGAAGTTCAGTTTGTCACAGAAACAGTCATCATTTATTACTTTATACTGGCTTCAGATCCTAGTGGAATTTTTAGATGAAACAAAAATTTCAATATCTAAACTAAGAAGAATCCTCTGTCTACTTTGATGCAAGCAAGTTTTCAGCATACTGAAGTACAAGTTCATCATCTATAATTAACAAATGAAGTGTAACTCAACCTTGAATTCAAGGTCATCAAAATCATGACAATGAGGAGAATTCAGTCCAATGGCCCCTACAGCTCTCAAGAAAAAAACAACCAAACAAAACCCCAGTTTTAATACGATTCATGAAGGTGAGAATTGAAACACTAAGATTTTTACTGTGAGTCATGGCAACTCCCTTCTTTCCTCTCAAATAACAAAACATCAAGGACTAGGCAACCTGAACACAGATTCTGCATTTAACTGGTTTCTTTTTTGCCAAGCTCAGAATATTTAAGTAAAATTATTGCAGATTTCCAAACTCCAGGAAAAAGCAGAATCCAGCACAAGGGAAGCATCTATGATATACAGTGCTCAACCTTTTGCAAGAACAGAAAGTGTGCCAGCAAGCTCAAGCCTCCAGCTCCGAGCAGCCTCTCAATCTGTTGATCTAGGAATATAAGTTCTTCTTTTTGGTTGATAGGCATTAGCAAATGAGAGAATTACTCATTCAGTTATAGGAAAAGAGATCCTCATTTCCAGCAACCTGCCTCTAAGTCCTTGCTGCTGGCAACTATTTTAACTCATTACATTTCCTGCCTCTGAGGGTGACCTGGATGAAGAAAACTCTCTACTACAAGAATAGCAGGGAGCAACTTTCAAGTTCTTCACTGAAAAAAAACCACTCTTAGAGCAGGTACATAGGTGCAAGGGTCAGAATGATGCACAACTCAGCTAAAGACAAAACTTTTGCTATACGATGCCTATGCTCTACCCTCAGATGTAATCATAGCAGGATACGCTATTGAGCACAACAGGTATTCAGCTCTATGCTTCTGTGGCTTTGTGTCTGTGGACTTGGTAGAATCCTTCCGGAATTTAGCAATAAATACAGGTTCTGTATTTTTCTGTACTGGCAGCTCAGCTAAAGCTGTTCCCCTTCCTCCATCCTTCAGCGCATGCACATCTCATCTCAATAATCAGCCTATTGATGTTTCAGAAAATGATGGAAAATCTTTTTCAGTCTCAGTAAATCCCAAGAGAAATTCTGTTTCCCAGTACAATTCCTTCCCCTTCTTCTCTCCAAGACTGCTGGTAATAATCAGCTCTACACGATAGAGGAAAGGGAGAGCAATCTTCCTCTTACCCTTTACCATAATTTGCATGCCTGGTATATTCCAGGAAGAAACAATTTCTGTATTCCCTCTGGCACAGGGACCACCATTACCCCTTCCACTGCATATGTGAGTTGCAACCAGTCAACAAATGACTTTTAATATAACGGAATTACGTATCTACTTCTTGGATGAGTCTTAGAGCAAAAAGGTTTTGGGATATTGCAAAAGTGACAGTGGAGGATTGACGTGGAGGATATGAAAGCTCTACAACATAAAATTTTGGACATAGCTACTACACAAGTTCAGGTAGAGAAATAGAGTTTACAGTGAAAAAAAATGAGGATATTACAAGTATCTTTCACCTTATTCTCTCTAAGAGGGTCATACTATTTTAGATCACTGAACAGATTTCCAGAAGAATTATATATATTAAAATTCTTATCTCACAGATATGTTAACATCTCTTAAAAGCAGAGGCCCTCCTCCCCTAAGGCTGAGAAAATCTTTTGACATGTAATTACAGTTAGTGAAGTACAAGGAAAAGAACAATTTTCACCTGAAGACTAACAGTTCAAAGTGTAGACTTCCCAGTATTTTAAAGTATACACATAACTAATTTTCACAGTTTAGACAAAAAGGCAGTATACATAACTGTTACAAGAAGGAGCAAGACAAGAGGGATCACCCTACAGGCATCAGCCTAAGCTTGGACATGTAGTGATCAGGCCCTCGTTCTACTACAGCTTCTCTCTTTAACTGCAGGGGAGACCCTTACTCCCATTTCACAGTAAAAAGCATACTAGGAATAACACAAAAATCAAAAAGATATTAAACATTAATATATACTTCACAAGTAGCATTTAGATAATCCTTTCTTTTAATGGAAGCACAGAAAAGAACTATTAACCCAGCAAAATCTAAATTAGAGGAAAAGCTCTAACAAACATCTCCATAGCAATCATGTCCTGTCTGTGACACAACCACCCACTCGACAGCCAGGAAGAGGATGGAAGGGGTAAGATCGAAAACTAATATTTCTTCTTGTTTCACCACTTAGCTCCCAGTTAATTTATTAGCTGTTTTATTTTCAAAGTGGTTTTATACTAGCACTATATTTATTGCCAACCACCCAACACCTGTCCTTTTCTGTATTTCCCGCACAGGATACTGACAGAGTTTAGCATACATTGCCTACACCAATTCCTTCCTTCCAAATCAGTTCAGTTTTTTATGTATTAGTCATTTTTCTGAATCCAGGCAAGCTGTTCCCAGTTTTAGCACTGCCTGCCAATTCAATAATTTAATTTGTCCTTCCCAAAACCATCCATCCAGTATATTCTTAACTTGGTTCTAAATTCTGAGCTCTTTTTCAACTTGAAATGTCAAACCTGAATCATTCCAAATATTAGAGCTAGAGCAGCTCTGACCTTGTTGATTTTCCAGCAAACTAACTCCATAAACAGACTTCCCCTAGTGTCACCCATGGTTTACAACAGCCAACACTGATGCAAATAAGCGACCTTAAATTCGCACTTCTGAAATACTAGTGAGGTTTATTTTGCAGACTACCTTTTCATATATGATGCTTCCTATAAAAACTCAGGATTCAAGAAAGAATCAAACCTTCATTTGGATGACAAGATATCTGAGGGATTATTAATGCATTTAAGCAAGATAAATCTCGAAATTTAAGGTTGATAATCTCTATTTGGTATTAGGAAAGAAATCTCTGTGTACAGATTCATAGATCTTTCCTGGTAATACCTACTTTAGGGTATATATATGTTCATGAAATATTTCATATGGACCAGGGAACATAGTAGAATGCACAGTTCCCTCTCTGCTGATTCCCAAGGTTACGCTGAAGCTACAGCAATTGCTCAGATAGATGAGTAACACCAAGAAGCAGTTATTGCATTAAAAAAGACCACTAAATATTCATCCATCTCCTGAACTTTTCAAATAAAAAAACCCCAAACAGTCGACAACTGTGCACTGCAATTTCTTTTATGATCTCTTTTCATTCATTGTATTTCTCTCACTTAAGCATGACTTGAACAGCAACCAAGGCTTCTGTGAGACCATCTTCAAGAAATAACATGGCAATGGATTGTCCCTTTGCAGAATGAGCATCTCAGGCAGTTCACAGCTCTGCTTTTTTCTCCAGACTGAATTCCCTCTCACTTCTTCATCAGGCAGAAGGGACCTAAAAATCTTGGGCATGGTATCTGTATCTCTAGGCAAATTGTTATTATTTAAATCGCATGGCCTCCCCATCATTTTCATTTACAAGTTCCCACTCAAGAATT